TATGTATAAGGCAGGTTTACTCTGTTTAATTTTAGAGCAGATTTAAAAATAACTAATAAAAAGTGCTGTAAAACAAATCATGGTATAAGTACAAAAGTGGAAACGGAAGCTGATATGTGAAGCAATGACTGTCTGCCTTTTCCGCATTGCTGTGGCTTTCTGTGTGTTTCAGTTAGTCATGATAGATTTATAAATATGCCTTAAAGAAGAGATTGGGAATGCTTAGCTGTTAGGAAAATCACCTTCCTGTTTCTCTTTTTTTTTTTTTTTTTACTATCATTTTACTGTGTATGATGAAATTAGCAACTTCTATTTCTACTGTGCAGGATTTTCTTTCATTTAGGAAAGTATTATATAAGTAATGACAATTTCGGGATAGCTTATTTTAGAATTGTGTAATAGTTTCCTATAACTAGACATCAAAACCTGAAAATTTCATTAAGGGTGAAGAAAAATGAAATTAGATTCTTTTTTTATTTTTTTTTTATTTTTTTTTATTTTTATTTATTTCTAGGAGAGAGAGAGAGAGACAGCGCGAGCAGGGGAGGGTCAGAGAGAGAGGGAGTCACAGACTGAAACAGGCTCCAGGCTCTGAGCTGGCAGTCAGCACAGAGCCCGACACGGGGCTCGAACCCACGAACCGCGAGATCATGACCTAAGCGAAAGTCGGACGCTCAACCGACTAAGCCACCCAGGCGCCCCGAAATTAGATTCTTAACCCACACTATATAAAAAGATTAACTTCAGATGAAGATTTCAATGCCAAAACCAAATCTTTAAACACTTTGTAGGAAATGTAGGTGAATGTGTTTTAGACCTAGAGGTAGGAAAATTTTGCTTCAATAATGCATAAAACATGTTGATTATAAAATACATAATTTTTATTATATTAAGAGTAAAAACTTGAGTTCAAGAGATATTAAATTGAAAGTCCTGTAACAAACTAGGAGGAGTTATTCACAATATACACAACTGACTAACGATGGGTGTCAAGAGCATAAAACATTTCCTACAAATGAATTAGATAAATGGGCAAAGACCTTCTTTTTGGAGGAGAGGGAGAAATGTTTGCATGTGGGGGAGGAGTGGAAGGGGTGAGAGAGAGACTCTTTTAAGCAGGATCCACACCCAGCACAGAGCTGGACATGGGGCTTGACCTCATGTTTGTGAGACCGTGACCTGAGTGGAAATCAAGATTCAGATGCTCAACGGACTGAACCACCCAGTCGCCTCATGGGCAAAAGATCTTAATAGGTATTTCATAGAAGAGAAAGTTTTATGACCAACAAACATGTGAAGAGATGTTCATTATGTCATCTCATATACCTTAGTGATCACGGAAATGCAAATAGAGACAATTATGCAATATTATTTTATACTCGGCAAAAAATTTAAAAGCTTAATAATATCAGTTGTTAGGATATAGATCTGGTAGATGTTCATTGCTAGTCATGGAGCAAATTGGTGCAATCATTTTGGAAAATAATGACATTTTAGAAAAAGTTGCAGATTCACATATCCTTTGTTCCAGAAATTACATTACTAGGTATCAACTGAAACTCATTTACATGTATAACAGAAAGGACGTACAAGGAGGTTCATGTCAGTGCTATTTAAGGTATAACCTAGAAATAATCCAAGTGCATATCAGTAGGAGAGTAGATAAATAAATTGTGATATATATTCATGATAAAATATGACTTAGCAGTTGAATGAAGTACAACATTTATAAATATGAATGAATCTTAGCAATATAATAGTCAGTTAAAAATCAAGTTCTACACTTGTGGGGTTGAGCACTGGATGTTATATGGAAACCAACTTGACAATAAACTATTTGTAAAATAAAATCAAGTTCTAAAGAAATTATAACATACTGTTTTTATAAAGTTAAAAACAACTAAAATATCTCTTAAATACAGGGTGATGTAGTAATTCTGTATAACAAGGATGTCAAGGGAATTATGAATATGGAATGCAGTATGGTTATTGTCTCAAGTCTGGAGTCAAAGGGGATGTCATATGAGGGGACCACATAGCCGAACATGGGCTGTGATCAGAGTGTTATTTCTTTTGGGTGAGGAGATTCTTGGTTCCTACTTACATTATTAAAAATGGCTAAATAAATAAAAGTGGGTCATTCAATTAGGAATAATGAGACTATGTTATAAGCCAGAGATTATGAGTAATTGAGTGATCCAACTTTGTGTGCCAGAGGTACACAGAGAAAAAAAAGTAGTTCCCCAAATATACGCATATTAAGGAAATTTAGTATTTAACTATATTTTAGTATATCAAGGTGCTAATGTAATCGAGATTAGACACTTGAAGTGGTAAGCATTTAAATAATCAACCTAAATATATCTGTTAGATGCAGAGCAGGGGGCACCTGGGTGGTCACTCGGTTAAGTGTCTGGCCCTTTATCTCTGCTCAGGTCATGATCTCATGGTTCATGGGTTTGAGCCCCACATCAGGCTCTGTGGTAATAGGAAAAAAAGAAAGATGTGGGGCCCTGTATTGAATTTGCTGGGTCACTATGTGGAATTTGAGATCTAAATGTCTGCTCTCCTAAAAATACATTTCCTATAATTCACATTTGGTTATATTTAGAAAACAAAATTGGAAGTACCTTAGACTAGCAAAATGAAATCTATTGTGAGTTATTGTAAATAAAAATACAATACAAATATGATGTAGCATATACCAGATTCAAAATACAAGGACTAATCAATAAAAGAAAGAAGAATTTCAGCTTAGAAAAATAACTGGCAGTTTTTTAGAATTTGGCAATACTATTTTGTAACGAAACATATATATTCCCATGTATATTAGTTGCTAGAGCTACCATAGCAAAATACCACATACTGTTTGGCATAAACAACAGAAATAATTCCCCCCCCCCCCCCCATAGCTCTGGAGGCCAGAAATCCAAGGTCAAGATGTTGGCAGGTTTGGTTTTGAGGCCCCTCTCTTTGGCTTGATGACCACCTTCTTGGGGTATCCTGACATGGTCTTCTCCTCTGGTCATATGCATCTCTTTTTCTTATAAGGACACCAGTCATATTAGAGTAAGACCCCACCTTATCAGCCACATTTGAGCTTCATCACCACTTCAAAGAAGTTATCTCCAAATATGGTTATCTTGCAAGGTATTGGAAGTTGGGATTTGAACATGTGAATTTGGGGGGAACACAGCTCTCCCATAGCAACATCCTTTTCTGTGACCATGATTCTTCCAGAGACTGCCTGCTCTTTGCCAGACCCTGATCTAGGTGTTGGAGTACAACAATATGGCTTATAACTCATGTCTTACAGTGGGCGTGAGAGAGCAGCAAGGACTCAAAATTAGAAAAAATTTTATGATCTTAAATTTGCAAATGCCATTATCCCCACATCCCAGTCATTTTTTTTTTTTTTTTTTAACTAGGGGTCGTAGGCTCCCCCCTTAATTGTTTGGAAGAATTAACCACTTACATAAAGAAATCCCTATTGTTACTGCTCTAGGGCATGCTGTTTGTATTTGAGCACAGGAGAGCAGCTTAAAGAACACCCATAACTAGAAGCTTCTGTCACTGTGACAATTGGTTGTGGACTCATATTTGGAAGACTGTGTTTTGTGACAAGATCTTGCTTCATGCTTGAGGTACGTCTTCCCTAAATGTGGTCACCTGGGACTCTTGCATCCTAGTGTTAGTTGCTCTAGGGGATGACTACCTATCTCTTTTGAGGTACTCCTCAGTCCCTCAAAGGGAAATTTAGCGAAGCCACGTAGCACACACTTAGAGTCCCAAGAATAGGCTCTAGTATTTTTAAAGATGAACTTTAGTAGTGTTGTGTCACATTCTAAAAACAAAAACCTTATTGTGCTTGTTTGACAATACAGGTGGCTTTAAGGTACGAAATAGATGATTTTGCAGATATGGAGACATATGACTTAGATAAGATAGGATTTTTTCTCACACCTGATAGTTGTAAACAATCTAGGGCTGGCAAGGTGGCTCCTCAGGAGAGGGCTACTGGAGATGTCCTCTCTCCCTATCCCTACCCCGCCTACCCCTCTCCCCTGCTCCCAGCAAACCAAGAGAGCATTTTCAGCATCATGGAAGCCTAAGTATAAAGCCTATCTTTGGCCAACACAATCAGTAAGGTTCACTTTGGGCTGTAAGTGCTTGGCTGAATGGCCCCAGCCATTCAGCAAAATATGTAATGACTTTCCTTTGCCAAGAATGGGCAGAGTTAGGGCAGCATCTGTGAGGTCACGAAGAGTCCTGGCTCTTCCCTGTCCACCCACCCCCAACTCTGCTTCGGCCACCTTCATCATATCACTGTTTCATCCTTGAGCTTGTCAGTTTATGTTTAGAAAATGGTCCCAGACATCATATCCTCACATCAGTGCCCCAAATAAGGAGGGAGGAGAGGAGGGAGGGGGACCTTTACCTTTTGTGTCTTTCTTTTCTCTTTTTTCTCTTTCTTTTCTTGCTTTTCTCTTTTTTTCCTTTTCTTTTCAGAAAATGTCCTAGAAGCCCCTTAGAACACTTCTTGCTGCTTTAAAAAAAAATCAGATTATTTTAACTAAAAACAAAAACCAAAAATAGTTCACCCATTTCTTCCATCTGCCATCCTCCACATCTGGCAATCACCAATCTGTTCTCTGTATCTGTGAGCTTGTTTATAATGTTGTAGTGAACATGGGGGTGCATATCTCTCTTCAAGTTAGTGTTTTCATTTTCTTTGAATAAATATGCAGAAATGGGATTGATAGATCATATAGTAGTCCTATTTTTAATTAAAACATTTTATGGAAGTATGGTTGACATACAGTAGTTTCTGAGTTTATGGTATACAACATAGTGTTTGACAGTCTTGTATTTTATACAATGTTCACCATAAGAATAGTTACCATCTATCACCAAAGAAAGTTATTAAAATATTTTTGACTGTATTTCCTATGCTGTACTTTGCACCTCCATGACTTATTTAATTTATTTAAATTCTTTATACTTGTAGCAAGAATTGCTATCAAACTCCACTCATTGGGCTGTAACACTTTTGGTGTTAGTGAAAGACTTGCCCCTCATGTAGCATACTCCCTACACTTACGAGTTCATTGGCCAGCCAGGGCCTCAACTCCAAGCTCTGGTGACTTAATTATTTTATAACTGGAAGTTTGTACCTCTTAATCTCTTCCATCTGTTTTGCCTTTTCCCCACCCGCTTCCCATCTGGCAACCACCAGTTTCTGGTGAGGTTTTATTAGATTCCACATATAAGTAAAATCATATGGTATTTGTCATCTCTGACTTCTTTCACTTAGCATAATACCCTTTAGGACCTTCTATGTTGTCTCAAATGGTAAGATCCCATTCCTTTTTATGGCTGAGTAATATTTGTCTTTATATACCACATCTTCTTTATCCATTCATTTATCAGTAGACTCTTAGTTTACTTCCATATCTTGGCTATTGTAAAGAATGCAATAAATAGGGGAGTGCATATATATTTCTGAATTAATGTTTTCATTTTCTTTGGGTAAATATTCAGTAGTGGAATTACTGGATCATACAGTATTTTTAAAACTTCTTTGAGGAAGCTCCATACTGTTTTCCACAATGGCTGCACCAAAATATATTCCCACCAATAGTGTATGGGTGTTTCTTTTTTTCCACATCTTCACCAACAATTATTTGTCTTTTTGATACTAGCCATTCAGTGCTGTGAGGTGATAACCCTTTGTGATTTTGACTTGTATTTCTCTGATGATTAGTGATGTTGAGCATCTTTTCATGTGTCTGTTGTCCATCTATATGTCTTCTTTGGGAAAAATGTTCAGGTCCTTTGCTCATTTTTAAATCAATCATTTATTTTTGGTGTTGAGTTGAATGTATTTTTCATATATTTTGGATAGTGGCCCCTTATCAGGTGTACAATTTGCAAATATTTTCCCCCATTTAATAGATTGCCTTTTCATTTTGTTAATAGTTTCCTTTGCAGAAGCTTTTTAGTTAGATGTTGTACCACTTGTTTATTTTTGCATTTGTTGCTTTTGCTTTTGGTTTCAGACACACAAAAAAATCATTGCTAAGATACGTCAAAAAGCTTACCACCTGGGTTTTCTTCACGGAGTTTTATGGTTTTCAGGTATTACATTCAAGTCTTTAATTGATTTTGATTTAATGTTTGTGTATGGTTTCAGTTAGTGGTCCACTTTCATTCTTTTACCGGTGACTTTCCAGTTTTCCCATCACCATTTATTGATGAGACTGTCTTTTCCCCCATTTTATGTTCTTGGCTCCTTTGTCATAAATTAATTGACTATATATGAATGGGTTTATTTCTGGGCTATGTATTCTGTTCCGTTGATCTATGTGTCTGTATTTTATGCCAACACAATACTAAACAATGCTTTAATTACATAGCTTTGTAATATCATCTGAAATCAGGGATGTGATACTTTCAACTTTGTTCTTTCTTAAGGAAGAAGTGGTCTTTTGCGGTTCCATACATATTTTAGGATTGTTCTATTTCTTTAAAAAATTCCATTTGGAATACACTCTAAATGTTGTGAAAGTCTGATCAATTATTTTCATTTTTTTAATACACAGAAAAAAGAACTCGTATCTACTTTTACTTTAAAATGTGGTTGGATAGGGGCACCTGGGTGGCTCAGTCAGTTGAGCATCCAGCTTCGGCTCAGGTCATGATCTCACAGTTTGTGGGTTTGAGGCCTGCATCAGGCTTTGTGCTGACAGCTAGCTCAGAGCCTGGAGTCTGTCTTTGGATTCTGTGTCTCCCTCTCTCTCCTACCCTCCCCTGCTCATGTTGTCTCTCTCTCTCAAAAATAAATAAAAACATAAAAATAAATAAATAAATAAAATGTGGTTGGATATTACTTTCCAAGATTAGCTAATATAACCTTCCTCTCTCCATTCTATTTTTGTTATTCCTTCGACTTCATTTTATTTGGGAAGTTAGACCATGGAGGGATGCATAGAGGAACAGAGTCATGATTTTACTGAAGCTGAGGCACCTAGAAGTGAGGGGGCTACTGTGGATGAGCATGAGGGAACACTGGGCAGTAACATCCTTGGGCCAGTGACCAAGGACAAGGGAGGAATCTGGATATCAGAAAAAATGCCACTGCAGATCAATGGCATTTGAGGGTCAGATTCAGCCCCTACTCTAGACTGTGGTACAATTAAGCTTCCTCCTCAGGATGGAAATTGGATATAACCTTGGGAAACCAGGACTTTGGGGAGGGCAGATGAGGGTGTAGATAAGGGGCTACATCTTTAAATTTACTGAGGTGTTTCTGTCACACTGTTACAGAAACATCAATATTAAAGAAGTTGTATTACTTGCCCACCTGAGTTTATGGTCTAGGGCTGGAGCTGACACTGTGTATTCCATATATTTTGGTTTTGTTACAGTGGCCTCTGCTAACAAGGACTGAAGAAGATTGAGCTGCAGCGTGGCTTGATCCAAGGCTAGAGACTCATGAACTGTAAAAATCTTACACAGCTCTTGTAATATGCTGTCATAAATTGAAAAAAAAATTAGTTCAATGTGAAATACTGATCTTCTGCAGCAGCATAAAGATGATCTGATATATAAACTTGGAAAATGGGGGCCTGGAAGGGAGGTATATACAGTCTTGGTGTAGTAGGAAGGTAACTCTTGTTAGTTTTTAGCTTGATGATGTTCTGATCGGAATGAATTCATTACTTTCTCTTTTAGGCTTGAGATTAAAATAAAAGTGGAAGATAGCCAAATTTTGGGGAGGAATTACTCAAAGGAGGTCAATATTCCAAAAATATATATTTAAAGAGAAAGGAATTGATATTTTTAAAAACTGACCTTGCCTAAATGACCAAAATTGCACTGCACTTCGACTAATCCATATGTTATCAGCCCATGTTCAGTTGAGTGAAGACCTTGAATTAGAATATGTCCCGAATAAGAACTATAACAAAAATTTTTAATAAAAATAAAGTTCTTGGAGGAATCTTTGGTGACTGTTAGAGTTTTGAATCATACCAATAAAACAACCCATGTATTTACAATAGTGACAATTGATATAAATATACCTGGTAATATTAAGTAGTGGTTAAAATCCTGGACTTTAGATTCAAGTAGATTCTGATTCAAAGGCTGGGTCTACCACTTAGTATCTGTGAGAGCCTGGGGAATGCACTTTTCCTTTCTATTAAATGGGAATGTAGGCTCAGTTCAATAATATTATCACAGATATTAAATCTAAACACATATTTAATGAGCCTGGTAATGGTTATAATTTATATTGTTATTAAAAGTTTACTAATTGGAGGTTTGGCAGACTGACTCAATATATTCTTTGTTAGTTTAACAACATATCTTTAATTACTGAGACTTTATGAGTTTTGCATTACCTAAATCATTGTTCCTCATTGGAAATGATACTTGACAAAAACTCCATGTGGCTTTTCACAAAGTATGGTCAAAAAAACAACCATGAAAAGGTTATGAATGAAAAAAAATGATAGCTTTAGACAATATTTTTTATTGCTTAGGTAAAATTAAAAAAATAATTTTAATGGCTTGATAGTATTGATAATATTAATGTAATAAATACTACAGTAATTTATATTCTATTTCGTAACATTCTTATTTTGGTCATCCAGGAGATTTTAACAAAATCAGTGAACTTTTATATGCTAAATGAGGAAAGACGTGGTGGTTGTTTTGAATTTACACCGAGGAAAATACAAATGCAGAAAGAAGAGTTAAGATGTCCAGTAATATGATCCTAATGAACTAATTCTTCCAGGCCTCCTATTTCCATTTCCTCTCTGAATGCAAGCCTTGCCTAAGAAAATAATTACAGTTCATTGAGTCAGAATCTTGAAAATGTTGAGGTCCCTAGACAAAAACTAAGAAAACATGGTTTAAGATATTCTTCAGAATTCACAACTTGATTTTCCCTTCAGAAACAGAATTTGGTTTGTTTGGAAAAATCACATGCAAACAGAACTTAACTAGGTAGCATTTATTTGATGTCTCGTTTTGCCACGTGGAAGAAATCGTGTCTGTTTTTTTTTTTCCTACTAGCTTTATGAGCTCTCATTGCTCCTCATTCTCAACATTTTAAAAAAGAAATACTAGAGATATTTTTACACCTTTGCCCAAACTGCAGTGTGATCCATATTTTTTGTTTTGCTTTTAATTTTATTAACAACTTTTATTAGCAGTGATGGATAGAGGGTGAATAGGAAAGCAAAAATCAGTGCACAAGGAGCATGAAGACAGCAGAATCTTCCTTGTTACGGATTTTATCTTGATTTTTGTCAATGAGGGGAGCAGCAGAGAGTGTGATACTGAGTTCATAAAGGAAGGGTATCCTTTCTTCAGAGATTTTTCTTGGAATCAAAAGGTAGAGGTGATCTCTGGAAAATGGAATACTCCACTGCAGTAAAATGAAGCTTTTGCAAGTATCTCCATTGTTGCTGCTGCTTCTGACAGTGAAGCTATTTTAACTTTTAATTTGCTGAAAGGCAAATAAGGCAGCTGTCTTCACAGGAGGAAGTTAGGGGTGAGTGTTGGAGAAACAGCTTCTTTTTTCTTGTAAATTAAAGGAGAACAGACTACAGAAAAGTTAGCTGTTGCTTTACAGATTCTCCCTTGGCTAGCAGGCTGGGATGTCCTCTTTAGTGATTCTCTTACGCTTCCTTTTAATTTGCCGAACACATCAGATCTGAGGGCAGATTTTAGATTTGACAGCATTGAGCATTTCTTCCCTTTTGCCTCTTTCTCTACCTTCCCAAACACCAAAACCCAGAAAACTTTTTGGATGATGTCTGATTTTAGGATTCTGCTTAGTGTTTTTGTTAAACCTTTATCCTTTTTTTTTATGATATTCTGATTTATGGAAGCATTTCTCTAGAGGAATTGAGGCACATGTAGCAAGAACTAAGATTGCACCTATCTTTCATTAAACAGGAGCTGTGTTAGCAACTTCCTCAATGGTGCATGTGATTTACTAATGGCTGCAGCCTCTGGATGATTCCTTTGATGTTGCCCTCTAAAGGTCTCATCAGAAAGCATTACTCTCCGCATTATCCCCTACTAACTTCTGGTGGTTTTGTTTTATTTGGCTATCGATTGGTATTACACAT